GTGGCAACTCTTCAAATCTAAAGTCCTAGTAGTCTATATATCTTACATCATTTGAATTTATTTTGCTTTTATTTTATTAAAATTCTAAATTCTGTATGTGAGTTCTTGTCTACATTTTCATGTAAATTGTTTCATTTTGTGTTTGTTGTGATGTGGGCCATATATATATATATATATATATATATATATATATATATATATATATATATATATATATATATATATATATATATATATATTTCAAAAGGATATATACATATATATTCCATAAAAATGGAAGTAACAATGATGAAAAAAACAATTTCCTTGGACTTTTGTCACCCACAGATATGCTGCTTTGTAAAGCTTAAGCACAACCCGTTAAGTATTTTGTAATGTAATAATTAAATGTTAATTTTTTTCCCCACCTACTCTCTTACATCAAATAGAGACTAGTAAATAGGTGCGAGATGACGGTACTTGACATTTTCCAAGCAAACGGAACCTGAATACCTTCTGCCTCTTGCATCTAGAGGCAGATTAATCTGAGCTCTCGAGGAGAAAAAATGAACTGAGACATTCAGTCATCTGTCGCTATCCCGTGGGGTAATTAAATGAGTCACTCAGTTATGTCTTGCATTAATCACACTTGGGTTAAACCATGAGGGACTTTTAAAAGACAGACTGAATTATGTATAGGATGAAATGGTTGTTGTCCTAAAGTTTAAAATTTTATTAGTGTTCCTTCAACATGTGTTTGTCTCAGAGAAGACATCCTGAGAATATCAGATCATGTTGCTTTCATAAATATATTTGGCTTTATCTAAATAATCTGTCACTGTGGTCAAATAAGTTACCGTATCTTTAGGACTATAAGCCGCTACTTTTTTCCTCACACTTTGAACCATGCGGCTTATAGCCTGGGGCGGATTTCCTGTGGATTTTTCTTCCACCACCAGGGGGCTCTTCAGCAGGAAGTGAATCATTGGAAGTCAAAATTGGAAATCAAAGAAGAAAGCGCTAATTTTCATTTAGAACAAGCACATGCTAGCACCAGGAATAACGGAGAAATGTTTTCAAACTCGTATGATGTAGCTTTTAAGTTGAGGGCTGTCGATCTGGCAGTACAGGAGGGAAATAAAGCCGCTGCATATTAGCTTGGCGTAAACAAAACCATGGTTCGGCTTTTTAGACGGAGGGCTCTTAATAAATCCAGCAGGTTTATTAGGATGCAGCCCTTTTATGGAAAACCGAGAGTGGCTTACATTTCCTGGTTTTTTTTTTTTTTTTAATTGTAGCTGCGGCTTATAGTATGGTGCGCTATATAGTACTTCCCCATCACTTACCTTAAGTTATCTAGTGTAGTTATGACGTGATGACAGCCTCTCTCTCTCTCTTACCATATTTACAATCCTAGCCATAATGCCCTCTTTGCAGCATTATGGGACTTAGTCTTACCCCTTGGCTCTACAACACTGACCTGAGCCCCCCTGGCTGCTGTTGAGCACATCCCCAGTGCTGCTCACCTCCTCCCCTTCGGTTTTGTCCTCTGGCTTCATCTTCTTACGGGTCATGTGGCCGCGGAAGCCAGCCTGGATCTTGGCAGCGGCTCTGTTGGCCTCGGGGTCGTCCAGGGGGATGTCCAAGATGTCCTCCTCCTCCTGGGGTCGGCTGCACTCCTCCTGCTACCAGGACAAGCGAGTTTACAGCAGTGCGGGGAACGGACTTGAGGATCATGCCATGGTGTTTTCTCTTAATTTCTTTCCATGAAACACTTGTGGGAGTTTTTCCACCGATAACAGATTGCGAGACCATATTTTGCTGGGTTAACTGTAAATGCTTAACAGTTGTATTTTTTATTTATTTATTTTTTTTTGCCTAAAGCATGTTCATTTTAGCAGCTGTGATCCGTGTTCTCAGTCTGTCAACATTCAACTTTTTCCAAGTCTACATTCTGTTTTTGTCAATGAAGCACTGCCGGTTCAAATCGATTAATTTCAAGTATTTCTGTTTTCTGGGTTTTGTTTTATCGGTTTTTATCTTCAAAGAAGGTGAGGAAAGAGTTGAATCTTTCATAGCGAGAAACTAAACAGTGCCCAAGATTTGAAGAATGAAAGATCGAAGTTACTTTGCATCATTCCAAAGTTGCCAAATTCACAGAAATAAAGAAATCAAAGAAATAAAAACACACCTTCTCTGCAGCATTTCCCCCCCTCCCCACAAAAAAACAAGACGATCCAGCAAAATTATATATATATATATATATATATATATATATATATATATATGTTGCAATCCACGACAGCCACTCAGAATCCACTGTCCCAGAGGAAAAGCGGAGTGGGCGGGAAGAGAAATTCCTGCTGGTGACAAATTGTCAGTGAAAAAGTGACACGGATATTGATGAGTTATGTAAACACCTATTCAATTCTTGTGGAGACAACAGATGTGCGCGTACGTCGTGCTTTGCTTGTGGTAACGGACTGACATTTCCCACTAGGAAAAAAAATAAAATAAAAAAATGCAGCCCACAGAACGGTCCCACTGCCATCCCGCTATCTCAGCGAAGCAGCAGCGCATCATGTTTCCAGTGAAACCCCTTCTAGTGTGGGAGTGTGACCACCCACCTGTTCGGCCAGCATTCATTAGCCTCTCTGTCTGACTGCTCACAGAGCAGCCAGCATCCAGCTCTTTCACAGGAGAACAGAGGCCAAGCACATCTATTGTATAAAGTTGGAACGTTTTCTTTCTTCAAAACATATTCGCTTCTTTTAAAGAATTTAGCTTTGAAAAAAAAACAAAAAACCAGGAAAGGGCAAAAAAACAAACAGGAAAAGGACAAAAAAACAACAACAAAAAACAACAACAATTCCAGCTTCTGCATGCAGTTTGACATTCCGAGTAACAACCCTTGGGGCATCGTCTGTAAGTAGCAACAGATTCATCCAAACAGCCAAAAGGCGTTAAAAGTTCATCTGAAGCATTTACTCACATTGTGACAGTCCATTTCTTTTGCTCTGGGACGACTTCAGTCTTCAGGTGAGCTGATCTAGTTTAACTCGAGCGCCTAAATCAATTCTGACTCGGGCCAAGGAGGACGCTCTTTAAACGGGTCTCTGATCCAATACAGATGCCTGACTGGCTCTCACTAACAGTCCCTGTATGTTCAGTAAAAGTCGCTCACGCACAGAGGGAGAGGGAGAGAGAGAAAGAGAGAAGCAGGGACACGGAGAGAGAGAGGGAGAAAGAGAAAGAGAGACCTCCTACAAACATAACAGCATGTGTTTCGTCCTTTCGGTCTCATTAGGGTTGCTGACCTACTCTGCTCACTTTACCCTTGCAAATGTCCTAACACATCCACAAAGTGCAACATTAAAATGGGAATTGCACATCACATGAGCGAGCGAAAGATTTAGTTGAACCATCCTTGTGTAAACAGAAAGCCGGTTCTGCATGGAAACCTGTATTGTTAAAATTTGACAACTTTCTCCATCACAGTAAGGAACTTCACAATTAAGGAAAAAAAAAAAGTGACCAGCCTGGACATACTATTTAAAGTCCAGATGGCAGCGAAACAATAGATCCCCACCCCCCCCACCTCGCCACAAAAAAAAAAAAAAAAAATTACTAATAGTGTGAAAACAAAAACTGTGCAAGCATCTTGGAACGTTTTTTTTTTTTTTTTTTGCGCTGGGAGGTGTTATAAATTTATTAGAGGCAGAGAGAGCTAGCAGTCCTCTCCATCCCTCTGATCCCAGCTGGTACGGCCGCCCACACTCCTCTGCAAGCCTAACAGACAAGACGGGGGAAGAGAGGGAGGACCAGAAAACATCCATTTATCCACGTTATATGTCAAACAGCAACGCAACGATGCCAATTAGCCGAGCGGTTCGTCGTGGTAATTGCGGCACATGCCTCACAGCTCGAAGCCGAGTTGCTCTGATAATTAATAGATCAATATTTAGAAATTGTAAACGCGTTTAAATAGGTGGTAACGAATCTCTGTGTAGTTAATCTGCTTAATTTGTAGTGTAAATATCAGTATTTTCAATTGAGTTGGTGCAAAGTGAAAATATAAGTCATAATAAAAAAATAAAAATAAAAAATACGTCGGTGTCGCCACAGCTGTCTTCATGTCGCCAAAGTGGCCTCGTTTCAACTTATGTCAGGGGATCTACTTTTTAACTCAGCGAGTTAGAAACTGCTCTAAAAGGTATAGCACTGATACAGAGGGTGCCTAGCAACTATCAGCATCACCATCTCCTATTAAATCCATGACGATACGTGGATGGTGAGGGAGTTACCATAGTAACATTCTCAGTGCCCCTTCCTACACTCCCTCCCTGTATGTTTGGAGAAGCCTGGTTGGTCCAGACAAACCAGATGGGGGTTTTACCTGTGACAGCACTAGAAATGTTTGAGAAATTGTTTAGTCGTCCTTTTAGAGAGATTTTAGAGACTGGTTTCACTCTGGGGGCGCTGTGTTGGCTCCCAGGAGGAGATTTGATCTAATCTAGACAGCTTTTTTTTTTTTTTTACAACATGCATTGATACAGAGTGACTAAGACCACCTAGTCATTTCTATCATCATGCTAGAAAAGATGGCACTTAAAGTATCAGAGGGAAAATGGCACATCATTAAAGAATTAAATATTTTGGAGACATTTCCAAATATTTCCCTCCAGACAGAGAGTTGTGATCCTGTATGGGATTCCTGTAAAAGGCCCCGGTTTCTATCCGAGGTTTACAAACACCAAACACTGATATTTGTGTCACAATAATTTTGAGCTTTAAAAATATTTTATTTAAATGATTCTCTACTTGAGAGAGGATACACAGTATATACAAGATTAAATGGATACACAGTATATACAAGATTAAATGGATACACAGTATATACAAGATTAAATGGATACACAGTATATACAAGATTAAATATATGTGGATACAGGATTAATATATATTATTATATATATATATATAATATTGGAGAAAAAGTAAAAAAAAAACCTCACCCCCCCCAAAAAAAAAGCAAAAAAAAAAAAAAAAAAAAAAAAACACTTATGTAGTCATTAGCAACCTTCTGGCATATTCTGCAAGGTTAGTTGATCCATCTTCTGACCCAAAATGGCAGAGTTCATTTAAAATATTTCTTTTGCACAACTCCTTTACAGTGCAGAAGTCCTACGCTGCAGAGTTGATTTTTGTCATTTTCAAATTTCTGACCAATCGTGTGTGAAATCACACCCAAAAAAAGTCCCGCCCAGAATATATGTGAAGAACAAGCCGAAAGAACTCCTGAAGGAGCGATGCAAAAACAGAATGACATCATTAGTTCCACAATTTGGTGGTTTCAATGCAATAAGGGATGCTTGCTCAGATATTAAAGAGGGTAATATAATGTTCACTTTCAGTTCTACTCAAGTTATGGCAGTAAAAGGAAATTGCTTACAGAAATTGTGCAAATGTTCATTTTACTGCATAGGAAAAGTGTGAAATGCATCATATCAGAGACTGTATAGTTTCTCAAACAACCAGGATTACCTTGTCGCTGTTGTTTGCGCCTGCTGCGCTGTCCTCCTAGCGCTCAGCAGGCCCTTTCTCTTCCTTGGAGTCAGCAGGTGTCCCATCAGAACTATCAGAAGGACTCTCCTCATAATCTGTCTCTTCAAATTCAAAATCAAATTCAGGAGTGAAAATTTCATCTTCATCTTTAAATGTCACCTGTTTTCCTTCCTTGACGCTATCGAAGGACTTCTCAGAGACTGATGGACTTCCACCGGTTTTCTCAAGAGAAACTTCAGTCTCAGTTATTTCCTTCTCTTTTTGAGTCTCAGTTATTTCCTTCTCTTTTTGAGTCTCAGTTATTTCCCCCCCACTTGGAGTCTCAGTTACTTCCTTCTCTTTTTGAGTCTCAGTTCTTTCTGTCTCTTTTTGAGTCTCAGTTCTTTCATTCTCTTGAGTCTCAGTTATTTCTGTCTCTTTTTGAGTCTCAGTTCTTTCATTCTCTTGAGTCTCAGTTATTTCTGTCTCTTTTTGAGTCTCTGTTATTTCCCTCTCACCTCGAGTCTCTGTTATTTCCTTCTCTTGAGTCTCAGTTATTTCCTTCTCACCTTGAGTCTCAGTTATTTCCTTCTCTTGAGTCTCAGTTATTTCCTTCTCTTGAGTCTCAGTTATTTCCTTCTCACCTTGAGTCTCAGTTATTTCCCTCTCACCTCGACTCTGCTTAATTTGTAATGTAATCACAAATTTCACTCTGGTTACTCCCCCCTCAGTTTGAGTCTCAGTTACTTCCTTCTCACTTTGAGTCTCAGTTATTTCCTTCTCCCCTTGAATCTCAGTTATTTCCCCCTCACCTTCAGTCTCAGTTATTTCTCTCTCACTTTGAATCTCAGTTATTTCCCCCTCACCTTCAGTCTCAGTTATTTCCCCCTCACCTTCAGTCTCAGTTATTTCCCCCTCACCTTCAGTCTCAGTTATTTCCCCCTCACCTTGAGTCTCAGTTATTTCCCCCTCACCTTGAGTCTCAGTTATTTCCCCCTCACCTTGAGTCTCAGTTATTTCCCCCTCACCTTGAGTCTCTGTTATTTCCCCCTCACCTTGAGTCTCTGTTATTTCCCCCTCACCTTGAGTCTCTGTTATTTCCCTCTCACTTTGAGCTTCATCCTTTGCTTCTTGTTGGTTGTCCGGATGGATTTCATACTGATTTGCAGGTAATTCGACAGCAAATTCCTCAAGCTGGGTTGATATAGTTTCTGTCTCTTCAGCAGAATATGTGTCTTCTTGAGAAATATCATCTTTTAATGTTGCTTTTGTTTCACCAGGCTCTAAAGCAGAGGAGTCCACTTGAAGAGTCAAATGTAGAAGGCTCTGAAGTTGTTCTGATTCTTCTGAGCCAACAGTTTCCTGCTCTTCAAATGCACCATCCTTATATTCCTGATCCGTCCACAGGGCGGAAGATTGTTCCTCCTCGCTTACATCTGAAGTTTCGTCGGCTGGCAAATCCGAGTCCACCTGAACCAAGCTCAGGTGTAGTAGGTTATCATCTACTTCACTCTCTAGTCCGATAGTTTGACTAGGTTCAGCTTCGGTAAGCTCATGATCTTTGTCTATCCCGCTCTGTTCATCTGCTTCAGATGTCTGTTCTGCATGTTGTAGTTCAGTTTCTTCATCCTGTGGGCCTGCAGCCGAATCAGTTATATCTGAAATAGGAAGATGTTCGGTGGTAAGAGCTGTATCTTCAACTGAGTGGCGTGGTTCTTCTTCAGTTTTGGAGTCGCTTGGTTTTTCTCTAAGAAACAACAACAAAATGGAACATTTTTTTTTTTAGAAATATTACAGATTAAAGCAATGCTTAGAATTTATTAAATGCATCTTTCAAACTCAGCTGCAACCTGTGTATGTTCTCTGCTGCTTTTAGTCTCAAGTAGTTCTTTTCCGCCATTCCCTCTCGGCCATGACAAAGAAAATCTTCTCTTTTTTGTTCTTCTTGTTTGTCTCACTTAAATGTTTTAGGTCATCAAACAAATTGTGATATTGGGTAAAGACAACCTGAGTAAATACTAAATAAAATTTTCTACTTGGGGGGGAAAAAAATCTATCAAATCGACCCCTACCCTACGTGAAAAGGTGGCCACATGCATGACTCTCTTGTTAAATCATGAGTTAGTTGTGATTCACCATATTTTTTGGTTTAATTTCACAAGCCACATTTACTAAGTAGTAAATTACTAATCAAGAAATCACCTGAGTAGAACATGTCAGCAAAATGTGGCCTAAAAAAGAAAAAAAAAAAAAAAAAAAAAAAAAAAATACAGCGCCTGTTTAAAAAAAAACACACATCAAGAAAACAAAAGCAGTCAACAGAATAAGGCCACTGTTTTCCAAACTTGGTTTAATATGGGGGCACTGCAGAAGCTTGTTATTTCTCCATCAACTGTTTAAGTCTGGTTTGTTGAAGCAGACAAACTTCACATGCAGAGTGCTTTGAGTTCCAAGGATTTTGGACAAAATGAAAAAAATAAGTTAGGTGCAGTGTTTCTGTACATATTTCACATCATAAATTCTAATTGGACTATCAAATCAGCTGAATTTGCTGGAAATGCATCAGGATTTCTCTGAAATCTTTGCTCTGAAATCTTAATATACATAATTGTATTACACTAGTATGAGTTGCATGGATTTTGTTATATTTCAGTACAAAGGGATAATGACAGAACCTCTTTGTCTTCAAAAGCACCTTGAGAGAACAGTGGTTGTAAATTGGCCTTCTACTAACTCACTTAGTTGAGTTGAAAGGTCGATATAAAAAAATGTAATAAATGACAAACTGAGTAAGGTTTTTATTGATGAAAATGTAAACTCCGATGTAATTTCATCAGAGCACATTTCTATCTTTTCCCTCATGCTCTTCCTCTCACTCTCCTCTTGATCGTGCTTGCTGCACTTAAAGTGACACTCACTTGGAAACGTCGGCCTCCTCTGCTGCTGTTTCCTTTTCAGGACTAAAAGTCTGGAAAAAAATAATTTAAAAAAATACAATAAACGAACATAGACTCAGTTTAGTTAGACATGTTAAGAGCTTCAAAAAGTGTGTACCTCTGTACTCTTGAAAGCATGGTTATTGTAGAACCTGTCTTCCAGCTTGGCAGCCCATTCTGAAGGGTCCGCCCCACTTTCTGTGAAGAAAGAAGGAAACACCAGTGACAGAAATTTTCCTTATTAAATGAAATCTGAAGTTTCAATAAAGTACTGTTTTATTTCCTTCTCTTCAGTTACCTTCTCTTTCTTTCAGAAGTTTGTCAAAATACTGCGCTGCATATGCAGGGATGTTGTCCGGCTGGTCCCGGAGAACCTCTCGGGTCAGTCCCTCTAACAGGGCCCCAAATCCCCGTGGTACCCTCAGGTGAGTGTTGGAAAAAGGCACTGACATTTTCCTGAACTACGTGCCTGATTCCAAGCTATAATAACAGGAAGAGGTTTCCGGCTTTTCACAAGTGAAATGTCACCACTAATTTACCATCTTTAGTTAACGGACTTTCTAAATACTGCTTACGTTCGTAATTAAATCTCGCTGTTGAATCAGTTAACTGTTTAAATGTAAACCATCTTTCTTAAAACTCCGTTCTAATGCAACGGTTTGTTGTAACACCTGTTACCTGGAAGCGTTTTAAATCGACCTTTACCGAAACGTTTATAGTTAGCTAGCGCCACTACTACTGCTGTGGCTTGTTGATATCTGTTACCTAGCAACGGTTCCAAGTACGGAGACAAATAAGGGTCATGTATGACGCAACACATTCCAGCATAGTTCAATAAAAAAAATCTTTATTTTAGACATAACATGATTACACAGGAAATACCTATAAACATTTTTTGTATTTTTTAATGGACTTAGGAAAAAAATAAATGATACATTCATAAAAACATTTATTTAAATAAATGTGTATTAAAAAAAATCAAATAATAAAGCGTATAATACAAAAAATGACTTTCACAGTTGTATAAGATGAACATAACATAGCTTTTTATGAAAAATTGATTATCCCCATTTTCTTTTTTTATTGAAAAAGAGAAAATGAGTAATTTAAAAATTTAAACAATCGGTTACTGCAGTAATCCTGGATTTATTCAAAGAACAGCAAAACATAACTAAGCTGCTCATAAGGGAGGATCACATCTAGACAAAAACAAGTTGCTTTCTGAATGCTTTCAAGTCTTCTACAAAATCATCATATACTTCATTTTGATTAACATAAAAAAAAAAATCACGGTTTGCTTAACTAGGGGCTTTCAAGTTTGAAAGAGTAAATACATCTTATAAATATTGTGAACTTTTACTACACATAAAACACTGTATTAACAATGTGCTATACATGTGGATTTCATCTGCTGAAACATTTAATGTACTTATATTTATATTCTATTTACAATCAGTTAGTTTTTCTTGCAGTTATTCAGTTATAAGATCAGCACAATTTTGTTTAAAGGAAACCTTGATTATTTATACAATCCTGATTTTAAAAAAATTGTATTTGCTCGATTTCTTTATTCAAGAAGTTTTATTTTAAGCTCTATAAATAGATTTCCCTGTTGTTGTTTTTTTTGTTTGCTTGCACAAGGCTAAGAAGAACATTTACAACATCTTAACCAGAGAAGATGCATAAGTATCTAGGTTACAGTAAACCTGCACAATAAGCCTCTACTGGGTGCTGAAATAGCTGTGTGTAGGCTAATGCATCCCTGGCATAGAGGTTATGTGAACAAAATGCTGCTTCTACAAAATCCTAAGAAAAGACAACTTCAGAATTAATGTGGATTGGCACAAAAATATGTTGTGAGTATTTTAGGGGCTCAATGCAAGATTTTTTTTTTTTTAAATGTAACATTTTGAAACTCCAAATCAGCAGAAAGGGGATTTGGTCTTTCAACAATTTGTTCAGGGTTTATCTTTTAATTGTACTTTGAAATGGTTTTTCTCAAGTCAAATGATTTGTCTCTTTAAAATGATCCATTTGCAGATAAAAAGAATGCATTAAAACTTAACTGTATCAACCATACACTTAATGCATGTTGTCCATATGCAGGCCTGCTGTTGTCAGAGAGAAAAGCACCAGCAAAACAAGAAAGCACCTGTGCTTTCTTGTCCATGATTTCTCTCTATTTGCGTTTTATTACCTTTGCATTTAAAGCAGCACTTGATGGAACAGACCTTGCAAAAACGCATTAACAGGAGTATTTGAATAACGGTTTACAAAGTAAGTTTCTGAAATGTGATTGGAAAATTTTACCGAGGTGTACGGTGGATGCTTCCTGGACCACACGGTCCAGTGAAAGGCAGGCTGAAGTGCTTGTGGTCAGGCGTATGTGATAACCGCATACTCAGAGTTGGTGCTCATCTTGCGGCTGACCTCTCTGGGCTGGGGAACGTGCAGTCTGTCAGCTGAACGCGAGGCCTGCAGGTGGCATCTTGGTTCATCTCCACGCCACTGCACATGAACCAGAAAAAGAAAAAAAAAGAAGAAAAAACAAACAAACCTTTGTTTCACAATTAAGTATTGATTCTCTACTAAAAATCCCACAAATACACACTAAATTAAACAGTATATTTAAAAATCACAGCCACTTATTAAAGACAAGCTTCCTGTGATGCCAACACAGATTCTTCCAATAATTCAAATAATTATTGAGAAGAGTATAAATAATATCTGCATGATATTTTTGAAAAAATGTGTTTTTAAATTGGCACTCCTTTTATGTTGTTGTTATCCTTTAAGAAATTCTTGTCTCATTTCCTATCAAGAATAAACTACTCAGTTGACTTAGAATAGTTTTAAATCCAGATGTGATCTGGCTTACTTGTTATTGAGGTTTGGTGTTTACCTAGATGGGCTGATTTCTGATACTGGATAGAGAAGTGCACAAGACAAAGGTATCTAAACGTGAGTGCACTTATGCAATTAGGCGATTACATCCATTTTTTATTCTTTAATTTTCTCTGAAATATTTGCTTTGGTTGTTGAGTTGAATTTCACAGGATATACGTCATGTAGAAGTTGTAGAATGTTCTTTAAATTATCCTGATCTGATCTTTTTCATCAGAGTATCTGATAGTTTGACACTTTTAAGATCCGCTGTATTCGAGTCATGCTGCAAAGTAGCTCATTAATAAAATGACGACTGTACTGAGGTTTTTCCATAGCTTAAATGGACAAAAGTTTGTTTCTTTTTTTCTTTTTGCATGTCTGTGCTGAAAATGGTTGTGTTTTAATGTACTTTTAATGTACTTAGCTTGTAATGCATACAATGTAGCTTAACAACTTATGTCAATTTCTGAGCAATTTGTACTGCCAACTAAAAATGCATAAATATTTGGAAATAAAAAACACACAAACTAAAACATTTCTTCTGAAATGTCTTGCATGCAGTAAAATGGAGTGAAACAAAAGCAGCAATATCTGTCAAATTCTCTTATGATTCTTGTAGCTAACAACACATCTAAAGTAGCAATAAAACAGCTAGTATAACAGCACTTTAGTACTAGACAGCAGGAACTAAGCATGTATTTGCAAAAGCCTAATTATCATATAGAGATTATATTTAAAAAAGTAAAAAAACAAAACAACAGAAAGAAAACTACAGGTTTTTTGGTAAACCCTCCTGTTCAATAAAGACGGAGATGGAATGACGGGTGAATTGGTAGGTTTGGACTTGTCTTGCTTTGTCTCTCACCTCTCCTGTTCCTAAGTAGCCAACCTTAGTGAGCTCGGGTGTACTGACCCCTCGGACGGTGATCATTATGTCCGCATATGGAACCTCTGTGTCCCCCTCATTGTCTAGGTCAAACAGAACAACGGGTTTTACTTGTAAATATCAGCCGACATACAGACTATAATTCAGGTGGTTCTGCACGTTTGTCTTACCGGGCGGAGGAATTCGTAAGGTTATTTTCTCACTTTGTGTCGATAGCGTCCCTGGACGGAGAAGACGGCAAGCGTTAGCTGAAGCGCTCTTTCTGAACGCTCTTTATTTATCTGATATTTTTTGGTGTTTTACCTTTTACCGGTAGGAGGACGTCACTTGGGGATTGAGATGAGCTGGAAAAATTTTAAATAATGCTGATTTGTAAAATCTAAATCACAGATTTCAGCGTTAATGGTGCGGAAATGTGAATAAACATGAGCTTAGACGGCTCACCTTGACTTGGACACAACCTGCTGCCCTGGAATGAGAGGCACTGCTGTCAGACTACATTCAAATCTGTGCATTTTTCTTGCTATTAATCTAGGATTTAGGCTTATTTTTTGCAATAGAATACTGCATTGTAATCACCTCTACCCTTCCAGATCGGCTTGTTGCGATACACGCACAAGAAGACGGCCAAAACTGCAAGAACCATGGCCACTGTGACGGTTACCGCTGCCAAAACCTTCATTACATTAAACTGTCCTGTTGTCATAAAAACAGATGTATTAACATTTATTAAATATAACAATTTTTTTTTATATAATTTAGAATGCTTTTTTTTCATACTGCCTCACCTCTGTTTGAAGTACCCAGTTCAGTAGGAAGAGATGCTAAGATAATTAAGATCATTGTATTAAAACATAAGGATTAATCAAAAACTGTTCAAGGTATTGTTTGTATATTTTGTATCAGACATTAGAAAGGCTTCTCACCATTTTCAAGAAGAATGTTTGGGTTACTTGTCCAGTTTGGGACAGTGTCTGGAGCTACAAATACAAGAGAAAGGGTGATTCAGTGCTTGCTTTCTTACACAACTTGTCGTATATATTTATATAGAGCATTGCGTACCTTGAAGTCGAAGGAAAACTGTGTGAACTGTTGTTTTTGTGAGCTTAGGGTCGTCTGTGTCTTCTGTGTAGCAACTGTAGTTCTTCTCTGTATCTTGAGTAGAAATGTTTGACAGGCAGACGGACACGGTGCAAAAGCTTCCATTACTTTTAGTTGTGTTACAAGGAGCGATATCAGACTCTGTCCTCCAGAAGCCGCGGACGAATCCAGACGAGCAGTTATAGGTGCAGCTCAGCATGAGACTTTGCCCCTGTCTTACCATCTTGTAATCGGTGGGTGCCTTTGCATTTTCAGAAATCACACTTCCTGCAACAAGAGGATAATTTAGTTACACTGGAGAAAGAGAAGTTATGTTAGCACGAAGATGAAACATTAGGAATAATTGTTTTACCTTTCAGAACCGAAAGGAAGAGTATGATCAAGTAGACTAAGACCTGCATTGCAGCTCCTTCTTTCTTATTTCTTTGTTCCTTATATTCAAACATAAAGTACCCTGTGTTCTTGCAGCCTGCTGTTGGTTGCACCTGCACATACCCACATATATGTTTCTCCTCTTGAGTTCGGGTACAGGAAGTGGTGTTCAAAAGGATTCAGGGGTGTGCAAAAATAATGCACAACTTTCCATACATCGCATCTGGCTTCCTGTCAGAAAAGTGCTGTTAAGAAACAGATAGGGTAAACGCATCATGGAACACAATTATACAGTAGTGATTTTTTTTAAATGTTTTTTTTTATTATTATTATTATTATTTTTTTTTTACTGAAGATAAAGTTTTTCACTTGTGGAGTAATACTATGTTCATGCAGTTGACACCGAGCTTTTTAAAGGCCACACAGCACATGCTAATGCAGGAAGGCTGAGGGTGTCGTTTGCTTTTGTAGCTTTGTGTCTGCTGTAGTCAACTTTTTGATGCTTCTCTATATTTGAATTATGTATTTTTCAATTATTTCCCTGCGAAAACAAAAATGTGCCTTGCTTGCATCCATTTATTCCATGCAAATAAATGACTCTGACATATTCAATGTCTTAAAATCTCCCTGCTTACAGTGAATGACAGCTCATGCGTAACATAAATAATTTGCTGTGATCCACTAACAGAAACAACTAGGCTAGCGTTTGCACTTGCTCATGCATAATGAAAGTCACAGATACAGTTACAGAACCTAATTGCACATCACTGTCAGCTTGAGTCACCACCTGGGAATCACATTTCGTGCTCATTTCACTTTCAGGCAAACAGGCCTCCCGCTCTTTTTTTTTTCTTTCTTGGCTCTAAACATTTATCCGTGTAGGATTAGACCGAAAATACTGTGCTCTGGAAATGGAGAAAACCTGTAACATGCTCTTGCACACGGGTTTAGACATCTAGATATGATGTGCTTGGCGAGGGCTATGTGTTTGCTGTGTGTTTTAGCTCCTGGGATTTTTCTGCTGCTCATGCAACCTGGAGCTGCTTCAGGTAAGAAGAGCAATCTTCATGCTTTTATTATTTCCTGAAGTACATTTATCAACATAATGACCAATTTCTACATTCTCCCTATTTTGGTGTGAGAAGTCCCAGAGGGGAGTGCAGATCTTATTCTCAGTGATGAAGTGTATGTTGGTGTGTGTCCAGAAGGAAAGTACTTCAACCAGCAGCTTTGTTTGGATTGTCCTTCTGGTCACTTGTAAGTCGTCAGGCATATTTGAAACTGGAGGACAGTATTTTATTTATTTATTTTTACATGAGATAGAGGAAATTAATAATTGATGATGTTTCGCCTACTTCATTTCTGCTCTATAGTTGCCCTGGAAATGTATCTGCACCTAATCGATGTCCAGCAGGAACATTCAACCTCTACACAGGGAAAACCAGCATCGATGACTGCAAGGTAAAACACTCTTTCACAAGCTTCTTATTTGTTAAGCCCCAATGTATGATTTGCATTCAAATGACCCTTTCGCAACTATTTTACTTGTTATAACACTGAATTAAATATAATCAGGGAAAAACGTTTTCCAAGCATTTAACACCGAAATGTTGCAGTTACAGTTTGCAGTGCTTTCAAAAATTCGGATGCTCCTTCAACTTCCCAAACTTTTGTTACTTTACAGTCACAAATTCATGCATTTTATTAGGATTTAATGTGATAGGTTGTAATTAACACATAGAAGTAGAAAAATTATATATGGTTTTAAAATCTAAAAAGTAGGGTCCATTTGTTTTCATAACTTTCATAACTAGCCCCCACGTTCTTTAATACCCCTAAATTAAATCCTTCAAACCCAGCTGCAACTTGTGTTTTGCTAATGCAGTTCACATAGTTAACATAAAAATTACACAATTATGGATTATTTTAATTAAAATAAAATGGCTGATCTTCATGAGCCTTTGTTTTATTGTCTCATAATGAGGTCATTAATGTTACAAATGGCAAATAGTTGAAAACAACAACACCATAATCGTTTGGAATGTCATAGAGAAGATACTTTCTTTTGGCTAAGTGACAAAATTCCACTAGTTAACTTTAGTGAGCTGAAAAAATTCAAAAAGGGCAAGATAAAAGGCAAGAACGCAAGGTCGATTCATATTATTTTTGTAAGAGAGCAATGGTGAACAAACGGCTTTGAAAAGTTTGAATGGAAAATCAGTGGCGTGATTTGAACTAATGTGCCTCCATTCTGACTGAGCTTCAGCTATTTTGTTCAGATGACTTGATAAGTATTTCAGTCTAAAGGTGTGCAAAACTTCTAGAAACATATCCTAAATAACTATCTCCTGTAATGGCAGCAAAAGGCGGTTATGCCAAGTTTGAACTCAGAAAGCTGAATATAAATACAAATCTTTCTATATCTATATATATATATATATATATATATATATATATATATATATATATATATATATATATATATATCGCATATATTTGTGTGTTTTTGTGTGCTCTCTCTTCTTTTTT